ATGTTGTTAAATCTGAAGGGCAGTAAAACTCAAATCTATGAGAATTGAAGGATAATTTTATAAATACCAAGACCTAAGGGATAATTTTGAAAATATAGAAGATATGAGGGGTATATATGAAAAAACCCTTTTTCTCTTCTCTTAGGTTTATACATGAGATAGTAAGGAGCTAAAGAATTGCCCCTTGGCTAGCGCAGTGACGGCATAGATGCCATAATGTCAAAAAAAAAGGAAACTCTACAATATTTATAAGGCTTTTACAATATTAGTCCATTAAATCATATACGTATGTTGACATCAGTCCTTCTGTTAGATATATCATCCAAATAAATTAACTATGATTGGGTTTAACCTAATAATGGATGGGTGATTATATCATTAATCTCCCCAAAAAACAATTCTTTCTTTCAAATTTCCCCCAACTAGTATGTACCCCGTGCCAAACACGGACCTCGCCTCTTTTCTACCTTTACACTTGGAACACCCCTCTTCTTAGTTTTAATTACATATTATTATTGTACAATTAAAATTATAAAGCATATTAAACTTTATGTATAAACAAATTTCCCATATGACGCGTACATGAAGTTGCTATAAATTATTCCCTTGTGCTGATAGGCACCCATGTCTATTGTGATTTATTGCCTAGTTTAAATAAAAGTTGTTATGATATTAGAAATTCCAAGAGTAATAAGAAACCATGGGTATCTAAATATTTGATCATTCTAATTTCAACTTCTACTTGGAAAACAACATAAACCTGATTTGAGAAGGATGCGGCTAGATTGATGAGAAGACCATGAAGCCTAAAACCCAAAACATGACCAACAAAAAAAGGAATAACATTCGTATCATAATTAAATTAGCACATAAATTATGGCAAAAGAATATAAAATTATGGCATATATATCAGTTTATAAAATCCTGATACGAATGACTTCAAAAAATAACCAATTTTGAAAGAGGAAACTCCTTCGAAAAATAACAAAAATATTATTTGAAGGTTCAACTATAAGTAGTAAATTGAGAAAATTCGTGAGATAAGTGATAGAGCATTATGTTGCATTTACATGTAATTAAGTCACAATTCCTTAATGTTGTTTGATCTCAATTTTATTTTTATACAAACTAATTCCTACAGCTAGCAACTATGAAGAACTTCAAATGAATTACATTTGGAAAATAGATGCCTAATAATATTGTATGGTGCAAATATAACAATACTACTCCAACAACTCACACATAGTGGCCTAATAAAACAATATAGCAACAAAACTCTACATTCAATATACCATATTTTCATGAGTCAGTCACTTGAGTGACAACCAATCATAAATTTGTATGAAGGACTTATCTCTTGATGCATATTTCACTTCATCATACCAAATAATGCAAACTAACCCCTTAACTATATCGTGCCTCAAAGACAAACATTATAATATCGTATATTTATCATTAGGGGGAAAAAAGTAACAAAGCTAGTAAAAAAAGAGAAATAAGAGCAAAACCTGAAATAGAATTATTGCTGGCTTAAACGGGGTCTTGGATTATTTAGGTGAGGAAATTTAACCCGTGCAAAGCACGGATGAGTCTTCATATGGTTGTCATATTAAGCTCGTGTTAACCACAATATCATGTTCTTCTATGTCATGTCAAGTCGTAGTTTTTGTCTGTAATTCATTAACATGTACATATCTTTTAATAATTATGTCGGTCCTTTTGCTATTGTATTTAGTAATTACCTTTTTTTTGTTTTTATCTCCCCCAGTTGTTCTCCGCCCAGGCCGCCGCCTTGGCCTTGTTGCCGCTCCGCCGTCGCCAGCGAGCCGCCAGTCCCCTAGCCACCTTCGCCGTCCCTGCTCCGCCTGAACCGACCAGCGGCCTCCGACCATCCCCTTCGCCGCCCCACTCGCCTCCCGTAGCCGAGCAGCCGACAGTCCTTTCCCCGCGTCGACGCCGCTAGCCACACTCGCAGTCGACTCGTCGTAGGCAAGATCCCTCTCCTCAAGTTGGTTTTTATTCATTAAGATTTTAGATCTGTTGCTTGTATTTTAATAATTATTTCTTTTATTATTAATATGCATAGATTAGACTGTGATATTCTGCGTGGGATGTTAATGAATGATATTAAGTACTGCTATATTCGTGAAGAGATGAGTACGATATGTATTTTGAGCCGTAAGTGATGAAAGGATATTTTGACAATGAGGTTATGATTCATTATGAGAAGTTTTTGGAAGAAAGAATATTTCTAAGGATTATTTTGAATTAATTATAGTAATAAATAAATTAAAAGAGTTATTTTGGAATAAGGATTATTTTGAATTATTAAGAAATAATTTTAAAAGATTTTATTTTGAAAAAAGATTATTTTTGGAATTAATTATGATTGTATTTTTGATGGTTGCGGACTGTGGCATTTCATGTGTATAATCCATGCTAATAGTAGTTTAATTTTGTACTAAATCTTAGTAGTTATTCATGCTCCTAATCATGATTCACAACACTAATAATAGTAGTTGTTCACGATTTTTGTTCATGACTTATGATACTGTTATATAGTATTTATTGCATTTAATTGAGACTCACGAGAAATACATGATTATAGTTATTTGTGTAAGATGAATAAGAACAGAGGTTGTGTGTTGTTGGCTTGGAAATACAGTGAGGTTGTGATGAGAAGTCTTGGTACATGTGATTAGATGTGACTGTTTATGTATCCTCTAGGGTCGCTCCAGTGAACCGATACGCACTGGGTCAGTTGTGAGGCCAGTGAACCGATACGCACTGGGTTAGTCTGTTAGACCAGTGAACCGATACGCACTGGGTTAGTCTGTTGGACCAGTGAACCGATACGCACTGGGGTTAGACGGTTGGACCAGTGACTTGTTATAGAATGACTAGTTACATGAATTGTTACTTGGATGAGTTTTAATCATTGTGAGATATAGGCTAGTTATGTTTCTTTCCATACCTAGATCGGGATTAATATTTAATCATCTACAATTTGAGGCATATGGTATATACATGAGGGTTTCCTTGTTTGGATTATTTCGCTCGACGTACTACGTCTCGAGCTGTAGATTTTTAAATATTAATTCCATCTAGTTGTATGACCTTGTTATGTGGATGATTATAGGATGGCTAGCTGAATGATCTTGTTACTCGGATGTTTATGTTTTCTCCTGATTATTATACTCTAGTGATGGATTATATCTAGCTTGTTAGTATTTCAGCTGCATGTTTCTATTTGTTATTATTGTCCTTGCATTGGTCATTCAACTGTATTATTATGTTCCCGAGTGGGATCTTGCCGTGCGCCATGCACCTGACGTACACCTGTTTTCTCTGGTGTACGTCAGACTTAGAGGAAGAACAGGTTCAGCTAGGAGATCGCCAGGAGCCGGAAGATTCTCAGCAGGAGTGCCTGGTAGATGGAGCAGAAGAACAAGTTGAATCTTAGTTATTCCTTTAGTTTACTTTGTAGCATTTCTTTTCAGTCGGATCATTGTATTTTACATTTCTCTAGTATTCTTTGTTCAGATATGTATAAGGGCATGTTTGAGCCGAATATTATGTCTGGGATGATATTCATTTGTGATATGTATTATTTTATTCTGGGTTGTCTTTATATTCTTGCTATTGTGATCGGGGACCTGTGACTTCGCATTGTATTTATTTTCAGACGCTTAGCGTATTAGATTGAGAAGAAAAGAAGAGAAAAAAAGCCAGAGTATATTTCTTCTCAATCTAATACGTCGCGGGCTTGTTCACGTTCCGGTTCCCGTGTATTTTGGGAAGCGGGGCGTGACATTTGTAAAATAGATGCCTAATAATATTGTATGGTGCAAATATAACAATACTACTCCAACAACTCACACATAGTGGCCTAATAAAACAATATAGCAACAAAACTCTACATTCAATATACCATATTTTCATGAGTCAGTCACTTGAGTGACAACCAATCATAAATTTGTATGAAGGACTTATCTCTTGATGCATATTTCACTTCATCATACAAAATAATGCAAACTAACCCCTTAACTATATCGTGCCTCAAAGACAAACATTATAATATCGTATATTTATCATTAGGGGAAAAAAGAAACAAAGCTAGTAAAAAGAAGAGAAATAAGAGCAAAACCTAAAATAGATTTATTGAAGGCTTAAACGGGGTCTTGGATTATTTAGGTGAGTAAATTTAACCAGTGCAAAGCACGGATGAGTCTTCATATGGTTGGCATATTAAGCTCGTGTTAACCACAATCTCATGTTCTTCTATGTCATGTCAAGTCGTAGTTTTTGTCTGTAATTCATAAACATGTACATATCTTTTTATAAATAACTGTGCTTATTTAATGAATAATCATATCCATAGGCCTATATTTTCAGAAACATAGTTAAAGAACCAATTGACATACTTACTGAAATAATAGTTAACAGGCTTTGTTGCAAATTCAGCATAAACATAAGCACATTAAAAATTTGGATACAATCAATATATCTAAATGTTCAAAGTAACTCACTAAAAAAATTACATATGAACTCAATATTTGTATCCTTAAATCAATTAAATTTTAAGAACTAAGAAGTTTTTTTCACCTTTGATGACTTTAAAACTTTAGCTAAGAATGAACGTTGCCTTTATCGTTAAACGATCTTTTGTCAGATGCATCATGCACCCATGCCGCCACCTTATATCAACCTAAGTTCCAAAGATCATGTGTTAGAAATTCATCAATAACTTAATTTACACATTGTCAGATACTTCTAGTTGTTGAAAAATAGCTTCACATATCTTCCCATACTAAGATCACCAAGCATTAACCTTAAAATTTTAATCAAACTCATCACATAATCAAAATTTTAAGAGAAATACAACACAAAAGGCTCCCCACATCTTCTTAAATAAATATCATCATGCATTAACATCAAAAAATTATGGGATTTATTATTTTTGCTTTACATCATCGTTAGAAGCTATCTAAACACTAAACTTTCTATAAAATCTGTGCATAAATGCCACTCATGAGCTGAAAATAAAATATAGCAGCAAATATGGTCATATCAATTCAATACCATAGCATCTACTTTGTCGTCGTATAGAGAAAATGCTTAGTTTCTCATCATATAGAGAAATGCTCACCATGAAGGATAGTGCTCCAAATGAACCACTCTCTTCAGAAATAACACAACTCAAATTTTTAGGATTCTTTTAGTCGTCATTCTAAATCCATCATCAATCAATGTAACCCTCTTCACATGATTAAGTGACATTTCCTGAAAATCAACAAAATGATATTTAGAAAAATCTAAGCTAAAAATAAAACCACAATATGTAAGAGTTTACCTCAAACATGCAAGTAAATGATACATTAATATGAAAACATTATATAAGCTAAAAAGGATCAAATCCATACCTTACAAACATTTGCAATCTTAATTTTTTGACTCGGGATCAAGATTCTAATCTGGGAGACAACAAAAAACAAAATAAAAAATTAATAAGACCATTAGCAAGTGATGCAAGAAAAAAAAGAAATGAGTTCGCATCACATCCTATAATTAATAATCTATAACTTGAACTATTTTGAAAGATTTTCACCTTTGTCAGCAATTTTAATGTCCATGGATCTTGAGCCTAGAATTTGCCAATCAGTGAGAGTTTATTTCTACGGATCAAGATGTAATCACATTAGGAAAGATTAAAATATCTAGAAATATCATATTTTAAACTATTAATTTTTGAAAAACAAAATAAAAATGTATTAAAATGGCTGAAATACATATATGCATCTACTTTTATGGTTAATCACCCAATCTAAAAACCTGAACAATGAGTAATATTTGCAAATTATTTTGAAATCAATCTTTCAAATCATTGAAATTACTCCCAATTAAACACATACATATATAATTAATCAGAAAAACAGAAAAAGGAGCTTACCTCTACTGAAAGTGCACAACTCATTTACAATAAAGTAATATGAGAAGTAAATTTTGTGAATATGTAAAATGACAATTAGCCATGCAGCACTAATAAGAGCACATGACATCACATAAAAAGAAGCAAAAATAGTAGCATAGAAACTTAATCAATTAATGTATGTTATATATTTGGAGAGCATTGTAGGTCCTTCTATGCAAGTATGCATGTAAAACAACTAATAAAAAATCATACCTCCTAATGAAATATCACATATTAAGGCATACCTAGTACATCATTAGACATGGTAGAATTTAAAAACTGAACAAAGAACTCATCGTAGGAATATGTAGAAAATGCATAAATTATAACTTTATAATTCAAATATAAGTTACCAATTATCATTCCGAATCCATGTAAATTCACTCCAAAAAGTTGAGTTGTGGTGCTTTCATATTCTAAAACTTAAAGGAGAAAATTGCATGATAAAAGAAATATCCTCCAAATCCCTTTCTTCATCCTTTGACCATTTAACTCTAAAACCATTGAAATAAAAAGAAGTAATGTATTTCTCCACATTCCCAAACAAAAATGAGGTAATATTTGAAATTAAATTATACTAAGAACAATATTGAACTTTTAAATAAACTATATCTAACATTTTAAACAAACGCATAAGTAAAGAATAAACTTTAAAAAGCCTAATAATAATTGGAAGGGAAAGAACTTAATTAGTTTAGCAGTCAATCACATGTTAATAAGAAACAACATTACACATTGTAAGATGCATGTGGTGTACTACATTCTCCTCCATAGAAAATAGGTAGGTAATCAAATTAAAAAAAATGCACTATCATTTCTACTTGTAACAGTACTTCTTGGTTGGTTTGCTATCTATCCTTGTATCATTTACGGTATATTTCAAATATTTTCTTTATATATATTATCCTGGCAAATGATGTTATATTTGTAGGAATTTTGCATCTTTTTGTTTGCAGATTGTGTTATATAGTGATTCCATAAACTCTATTGTAGTTGGAGGCACAATATGCAGTGGGTGATAGAATTAAGGAACTTACAACTCTAAGGAAATAACAAAAAGTAATAAAATAATTACCAAATTATCTATGGATCTATGAGCTAAATGCAGATTAGAGGATTCATATAATGGAGAGTTTTTAAATGCATTCACCGAGAAAAGAATACATTTTTTTGTTTAAGGAGGTAGTTACCCACAAATGTCATGGTGAGCATTTATGGATCAATAAGTATGATGCTTTTAAAAAAACATAGCTAGATTACCCACAAATGTCATGGTGAGCATTTATGGATCAATAAGTATGATGCTTTTAAAAAAACATAGCTAGAGAAAACTAAATATAACAAAATTAAAAAATTGGATCAATAAGTATGATGCTTTTAAAAAAACATAGCTAGAGAAAACTAAATATAACAAAATTAAAAAATGGTTAGTACTCATATGTTTCAGGACACAATACAAATAGAACATAATGTCCAAAGTTACTCCATACCACTCTAGAAAGGAAAAAAAATTGAACTCATGACAATACCATGAGAAGCCAAATATGTTAGTAAAGGAATAAGAATAATATTCAATATTTCATAAATAAGCACAAAAAGACTAATATTGCTCACCAAAATTATGCTTTCGAGAAAGACTTAGCTGAGGTCATTCCCATCCCTCTGTTGCAATAATTAAACCATAACAACCAATCAATTTCAAACCTAATTACATAACATTCACTTGAATAACTCAAAATAATACCAATCCAGATGACAAAAAAAACAAAAGAACGGTTACTGCAAATATAACTAAATCTAGTTGTATAGAAATAAAGTTAAATTTTAATTCTTCAATTAATGAATAAATCAAATTTTGCCAAAAAGATCATCCTCCTTGTAATCAGAGTTATGATTATCACTCTCAATCCTCTTTTTTTTTGGATTTTGTCCTGCATCCTTTTACTCTTAGTTATCATCATGTTAGCAAAGACAACAAAATTCCATCAAAACAATAAAATTTTCAATCAAAGCAGAAGTATGTGATATCTCATTTACAAAAAATAGTAAGAGGCCATTTATGAACAAACCATAGAAACTTAAGAACCAATCAAAGATAGATTCAAAAACTCATTTACAATACTCATACTCATTTCTTTTAGTATTTTCATGAACAAACTCGATGTCACTTTCCAATCACCCAGAATACATCTAACAATGATTATCTAAGATAATATATACACAAAAGAGTCCAGAATACATCTAACCCATAGTACGCATGTCAAAAATTTGAACTTACCTCCAACAACAGATTGATGGTGCTGAAACTGTGACTTGGAACACTGTTAAAATCACATTTGGTGTCTCGGAACAATTTCTCTAGAAAGATAGCAAGTGGATATTTTTACATTTGTACCTCAAAAAAAATAACGGTAAATCCCTAATTTGGATTGTTAGACCACTATAGGAACGGAAAATACTTTGATATATGTCACGCCCCGGTTCCAAAATGTAATAGTTTGGAGCGTGAATCGGTCGGCAATGCAACCATACAGTCACATTCACGCCTCTACATCATCCTGTATACATATAAAACCCAAACTATACCAAATAGCATGTAACCAAGAAAAATAAAATGGAATGTATAGATAAAGAAATATCAGAAATTTCCATAGTTCTATGACAAGTCAACAAATCTCTAAAGAGAAAGGAAAAAAAATACACCATAGTCTGAAATTTCCATAGTTCTATGACAAGTCAACAAATCTCTAAAGAGAAAGGAAAAAAAATACACCATAGTCTGGAGAGCCAACTGTGGCTAAAGAAAAACAATCTCTAAAGAGAAAGGAAAAAAAATACACCATAGTCTGGAGAGCCAACTGTGGCTAAAGAAAAACCTAAACCAAATAACTACCTGAAACAACTGAATTGGAGAACTGATAGAAGGAACGATGATCACTACAGTTGAGCCTGCTCCTCGAAATACTCTTGGTCCTGCAAAGAGAGAAGAGTTCCCGAATCTGGGGCATACAGACCCCAGGGGAGTCAGAAAACTCCCAACAAGCATGTAAAATGAAGGAATAGTGTACGTGTAAGTGTAAATGGCATATAAAGGAAAGATAAATTATAAATAATTAGTGATAAAAGAAATTTACAAACCATAGAGATCAAATAATGTCCATCATCAAACACACAAGCAGATTTATTAATATTTTAAAAGTTATTTGAATTAGAGAAGAATATTTTCATGTATATAAATTGGTTCCCCGTAAACCGTCGAATTAGAGAAGAATATTTTCATGTATATAAATTGGTTCCCCGTAAACCGTCCCGGGAACACGGCTTCAGGTCAAGTATTGGCTCTTTGGCCCTTGTATATATATATATATATAACTCGGGATATCAGGAGTGTGCATGTGCCCGTTTATATACATGTTATATTCTTCATCCAATTCCCCTTCATTAACCCCCCCCCCACCGTTTGTCTGTTTAACCTAAGTAACTGTGCACGAAATGTTATGCACTAACCACAGAGTTACTATGGAACAACTTCCGTAAAACTATGAGAAATAACCGTGACCCAGAACATGTCTAATCAAGAGGGGTGCATCATCTAGTTGATGCTATAATAGTAATATCCAAGGAAAAATCTCATATCGGGATATCGATATCGAGAGCATAGCTATGCTATGAAAGCACGCTCATAAATCATACTTTGACGGAAGTTGTCTTCATGCACAGTCAGCCATATTAAATGTCACTAGGTGATCAAACATAGCATCAAGCAACAGTTTCCGTAAAGTCATGCATGTTAAACACAACATCAAACAACATAAGTACTATATGTATTAACCGAGTTGTTATTTAATCATAAATTTCTTGTGATCTCCATTATCAAAACAAAATAAGTCTTATTTAATCTTAATTGTTAAAATATTAGGTTAACTAGATAGAGTGCACGTCAAATTCAAACTAGGTTTATTGAGTATCACAATCAAATCATTACAATATTAAGCAACAAAGCATCAAAAGTGGTTATTTCAGACACACCATAGGAAACCGACATGTCATTTGTACCTAATTTACATTTAGCATTTTCTGCTAGTGAACATTTATCATTTAAGACAAAGCTTATTAATATAACCAAAATGCTTAGAGCTCTAAGTCACAGAGCTCTGGCAAATGCGCTAAAGTGAAGCCACTAATATAAATGACATATACTTTTATAAAAACACATTGTACCAGGTGGAAACACTGCATGACTATAATAACTATCTTATACATGGACGAGACCACTAGCTAATTGTATCAGTAGTTTATTTTAACAACAGATAAGGATTTATGAAACTAATGTGTTTATGCCTAAATATTGTGCTTTCTAAGTCCTTTGACCGCGATACAATATTTACCCATTAAGGTATTCTGATACCCTTATGATTATAACTCTCTAGTAGATCCGTGATGATTGAATACCCATATCTAAGATATATATATATATATATATATATATATATGAACTCGCACAGGAAACCTTGGCATGGAATCACTAACAGACTCACTTTTACACTTTACCCCTTAATGCATAAAATAACCGAAATCTCATAGCTATGGAAGAATTTCAAGGTAGCAACGGATAATGACATAAAAAGTTAACAGAGGGGAAGGGGAAATCTTATGCTTGCAGGAACAAGTGAAACAGATTAGGAAAAAAACAAAATTAAGGAAATATATGCTTGATTATAAGCTAAAAAAAATAGAAATTTAATGGAGGAAAAAGACATGGTTGCATAATAATATTGAGAACAAAATCCACAAAAACAAGACAAAATATGCTTGCCGATTATGAAAAAATACGGTGGTCAATAAAAGAGTTTAAGGATAAGAAATGTTTGCATAATAAGAATGAATAAGATAAAATATGTTAATAATTGAGGAAAAAAATGCTTGCCGATTTGTCGGAAGAGACTCTGAATCCCAAATCCAAAAACTCGTCTTTCTCCTTCCTTTCTCTTTTTTTCGGTTTCTCTCTCAATTTTTTTTTTTTGAGTTAGGGGAAAACGAAGGGGTACTGGATTTAATGGAGGAATTTAGTAACGGAATTTTAGGTAAGGGAATTAGTGTGGAGAGATTTATGGAGGAATTTGTTTTGTGGAGAGATTAGGGGAATTAGTTGAGGGATTAATGGAGGAAAAAAATGACCAAAATTTACTCCCTCACACGTGAAAGGGAAGAAAAAAAAATCAAAGGGGAAAAAAGGAAAATGGGCTTTTGAGGTATAGCTAACACTATTGGGGGCTTTAATTTTTTTTCTTGTCTAATTCCAACATATGTGGGCCTCTTAGTTGCACATATGACCCACTTAATTTATTGATTTGCAACAAAAAAAAATGGATTATTACATCCTACCCACCTAAGAAAAATAATTTCGTCCTCGAAATTTTATTTAAGTACAAGAAAGAACAAACGATAACAGACATATAACCTTTCCATAGGTGGTGTATACAGATAAAAAAAATGAAAGAGGTCTCTATGATAGATATATGTCTAGAACACAAGTCATCTGATATATTAAAGTCAGAAAAGTATTTTACTTGTAGGAATGTAATCAAAAAAAAATCTTAGAAATATGGTAAACACATCCATGCATATAAACACTCTCAATTATCACTAGGGAATACTCTGACATGTCAAAAGTATGGCTTTTACCTGGATTTATATACATGTGATAGGTCGCACGTATATGTTTTAAAACTTCATCATCACGTATATTTGCATCCTTTATTAATTTCATTTTTTACTATTCGATCACATGATAGGTTATACCCAAATCTAGATTGTTGTGGTGTATGTCTCATACCATATACTATAAGCCTATTGGAAAGACTCTCCATAGCATGAATCCCTTGCGAGATCAGTCAAGACATGATACATGTAAACCAATTCTTTCCCAAGTTTGGTCCTATGGATCGTCACCCTTAGGACCACCACCAATCATAATCCAGTGGAGGAAGATCACAAAACTTCGTTGGTACGAAGAAGTTGAAGCTGCCAACGAAGATCTCGCCCCGTTTGATGCCGAAGCTGCATCGGGTGAGATCTCTCCTTCCAACCAGGTCAGATCTGCTCTGGCCGAATCTTCCGTTGCCGAGGGCGTAGTGACTCTCTCAAAGAGAGCCCGCCAAAGGCAACGTCAGCGCCTTGCGAAACAAATCGCAAAGGCAATGGAATCTGTGGACGGGATCCGTTACAACACGGATCTGAAGAACAGAAGAGGCGAACGACCTCAACAACCGATGAATGGCAACTCTTCAAAGCCACCAACGAACGAATGGATCCGTGTCAAACGGAACCGTTCAACGCTGGAGGATCGCATCCAGAAGCGCCGCGCACTCTCAGCACAAGCACGAGCTCAAGTTCAAGAAGCCCGTAGAAGGTGGCAGAATGGAGTAGCCAAGAAATCACCACTAACTCACAAAATATGGAGGCCAAAGTCCAAAGTGGTGCATAGCTACTCCGGGAGATCATGCAGAATCCTCCCGAAGGAGAAAGTCAGTCTTGGAGCGCCTCGGTCCACTTCCCGAGGAGCGAAGCAAAGCTCCAATCCGAGAACGTTTGGACCCACTACGAAAGCCCCAAACAACGCAACATGCTGGGGGTCGCCCCAAGCGCACTACGTTGCGCATTGA